TACACACAGCACAAGGAGATACAAATGGAGCAGGAGTTAATTAACTGAATACGAGAAGCTGCTTGATAAGGTGGATAATAAGGAGATTACACAGGCGCTAGCTTGTTTGGAGTTAACCATTCAAATGTTTGGTGTTGTAGGGTTTATTTATAAACACCCATATTCGAGGTTATGAGAATAGGTTGACATTTCGTCAACAAATCTTGTTGAATTTACCGTTTATCCTTATCTATCTTATTGTCAGTCTTTATAATTCCATGGTTACCGGAGTTTTAAATAATTACGAAGTCACAGCTATTTGCGCAATTTTAATTAGGCAGATTACCTTGAAAAACATTGCTGCCGTATTTGTGATATAGTTTTTTGCAAATTTCTCGGTTTTCAATAACAATTAATTTATTTTACTATTTTTTCTGTACTCCTATAACAGCGCCAGACAACACCTCCAGAGTAATGACGCCAATTTTGAATAACCCTGTAGTTTGTAATAGAACTATTCAGCAGTCTATAGTTCTAGCCATTTGGCCGTTTTTAAGTACATATGTATAATAATTGTTATAAGGTGTCACAAGGCAGCAAAACTTAATGAATGTGCCAAATTTTTAAACGTTTCATATTTTAAAAAACACTTTTAAAATTTAAACCATCAAACTGTGTAACTACGGCAAGCTATATAAGACTTATACTTATCAAGGATACTTGTCAGCATGCATAGTTGGCGCTCTGCATTCTAATAACAAATTTACAGAAAGTTTGTCTCTACAAATACAAGATTTTTGAAGTTTAAGACAATTTGGCATTTTACGATTTTCAATACTTAGCTTTACTATGGCCTGCCAATTAAGCAGATTAAAATATTGGTTTATACGAAAGTGGGCATAACGCTTGAAAGAACCAACAACTTCGTGAAATACACTTGTGTTTTTGAATATTTTTTCCACTCTCATCAAAATGTGTTGAAAGAAAATATAATTTTTGAATCACTCTGTATGTACTATTATTATTAATTGACTCATTTTAATTATTCTGTTGAAAGGTTCAAACTTTACCTTTTCGAAGAGGGGCAAGAAATGTCAAAGCGATATATTGGGTACGAGCCTGCAGATCCTTACAAAGCCAGTCTTCTGCTGGTTAATATTCATCATACGCTGAATGGTGTTACCGCTTTGCCTCCTAATGTCATTGAAGTAGGCGGAATCCATGTAGTCAACAAAAAGCCGAAAAAGTTACCACAGGTATACTAAATGTATATCAAATGTTTTAATAAGAAATATTGAATACAACTTTGCATTAATATTGATGAAAAGTCGCTTTCAATTAACATTACATAACAACTAGACCTAATGATTAAGAAACTTTATGTATTAGGACATAGAGAACTGGATAAATAATTCAGAACATGGAGTGATCTACTTTAGCTTAGGATCCATGATCAAAGGGCACACGTTTCCCGAAGAGCAGCGTAAAGCGTTTATCAGGGCGTTTGCCAAACTGCCTCAAAGGATTTTGTGGAAATGGGAAAACGAAACTATGCTAGACAAGCCGGACAATGTTATGATTAGCAAGTGGATGCCTCAGTTCGATATTTTGAGTAAGTGGGCTAATTTAAGGGCGGACAACTGTTCTAAGTAAGCACACAACTGAACTTGCTCAATTTGTACAATTTGACTTACCTTCAACGAACTGGTGTTGCAATGACAAATTCTTTTATCAGCGGTTGCCAATTTGTACGCTTCAAACATGTACAGTCCGCGACATTTGATTACTCTCACCAACATATTTAAACTCATTTTTGTTAATAGTCAAAATTTTGATAAGCAAGCCACATGTATCATTGGATACAATGTTTTGATAGTATTCGTCCAACAATTCGTTTAATTCACTCGTATTTCATAATGGAGAAATTGTTAGAAGCAACTATAATAATTGATAGTGCGACACTTGATTACTCTCATTCACTTTTTAGAATTGCAGGTTGTTAGGCAAGCAGAAGAAACAGAACCATGTCTCTTGTCAACCGATTGACAGTTGTCTAATAGTAATTTGAGTGTATTTGAGTGTTCTAAAAGTGATTGGTATTGATATTGGACGCGGTAAAGCTTTATCGTTAGAAGAAAGAGGGCGAATTGAAGCTTAGCGAGAGGAAAATTATTCAAAACGAGATAATTGCACGAAAAATCGGGCACAGCTCATGGGTGATCAATGCTTATGTAAAAGACAGCGAAAACTACGTAAATAATAGACAAGGACGCACTTCAACTGCAACAACACTAAGGGAACGTCGTGTAATTTTTCGCCTTGCATCCAATTCTTCGTCAACAGCTAGGCAAATAAGGGATCCAAGTGGAAGTAATGCATCCGTACGAACTATTCAAAGGGTAATAAAGAAATGTACAAACTTAAAAAGAAGAAAACTACGAAAGAAGCCTTTGCTTCTTGCACATCATAGTACAACACGACAAATTTCGTACAGAACAAAATAATAAAAATCAACCTTTTGTGAAAACTATTTAATCCATCGAGTTTACGAATTCGCCACCAAGTGCTGTAGATGCCTACGTGCTAGGTCCAGATCTCATCCAGACCGTCCCTGGCTATCCAATCCACAATTTCCGTGACACAATACCCAAGTCGGGAACCAGGAGGCGGCTGATGGCCCCAAACGGATGTTCAAGTAGCGGGCAAGATCTTCCACACAGCAGAATATGGCGGACTCGGTGGTCGAGGTGACGGTGATCGACTGTTTTCCGCTATGGGAAGAACCATCGGCTGTTCTCTACTATCGTTGGTACTTGATTGCCCTTCGTTCGGTGACCCTGCTAGGTCCGTAACGGCGGTCCGTGGAGATGGGGCAACCACCACGTTGCCAGATAAAACCATGATAAAGACTGCTGATGTTTGGGAGAGAGATGCAAATATCCAAACATCAAAATTCAAATAATCCCCGAAATATTACTAACCTAATCTGACAAACGTGCTTGCTAAATCCAAATTACAAATGAAAATCGGTTGACAATAATAGATTATTACAATTATAACTTGTTACCACATACATTTGAACAACGGGTTAGCAGTCAGGTGAACCACTGGCTAAACTCCATTTTTAACCGTTACAATGGACAAGAACGTTTAGAGTTCACGCATGCTGAACTGGATAGAGGAATTTTGTAACTGGATAGAGGAATAGAAAAATGTCGCTTTCACGGATGAAAAGAAGTTTAACCTGGGTGGTCCTCATGGTTAATCCTCCAATATTACTTTCATGCCGTAAGGATGGTAGACTTTTTTTGGCTCGACGTCACAGTCGGGCAGGTTCAGTGATAGTTTAGGCACCAATTTCACGTCAAGGCAGAGTTGACCTCGAGTTTCTAGAAGGTCGGCCAACTGCTGAAAAGCATTTGGAGCTTGTGCAATGGCAAATTGCTGACATAACAGCTTTGTTTCCGGATCAAGAATGGATATTGCAACAAGACAATGCGCCAATTCACACCGCCCAAATAATCCAAACCTGGTTGACTGCTAATAATATTTCAGTTCTGGAGTGGCCTGCTATTTTCCCAGACTTAAATAACATAGAAAACTTATGGGGTTGGTTGGTGAAACACGTTTATACTGAAGGAACGCAGTTCCAGTGAATCTAATAGGAAATTTATTCAGTTCATTGCCTCATCGAATGTTAGCAGTCATTGAGAAGCAGGGAGGGCATATCAAATATTAAAATGAGTATTAGGATTAAATGTTGTGTTCTAGGTTCATTCCAAAATATGAGAGTAATCAAGTGTTTCATTAAAAATTACAATATTTGCTTTACAAATAAAAATCAATTGTAGAATACGAAAGTGTAAAACAAATTATTAAATAAATATTGTTAAAATCTATAATCTAGTGTTTGATGTACCTTGCTAAAGAAAATTTTTAGGATTAGTGAAAACTAGTCAAGCTTATTAGATGGGAGTAATCAAGTCTCGCGCACTGTATATAGGTTTTTTAAAATACGAAACAGGCAAAAACTGTTCCTTATTATACGTGTTGCTGAATGCATTCGTATTCCAGGTCACTCCAACGTCAAGGTCTTTATCTCTCATGGAGGAATGTTGGGCACTATAGAAGCTATATTCAACGGAAAACCCATTATTATAATTCCTCACTTTGGAGACCAAGCCCACAATGCGCGAAACCTGGAAAGAAAGGAAGTAGGGATATTTTTAGATATGCATGATGCAACAGAAGGAGCCATCAGCGCCGCTTTACAGAAAGCTCTGAATTCCAAGTAAGTTGTCAGTTTTCGAACATGTACTGAAAACGTAAATAAAGATCTGTGCTAAATATCTTCAATTTTAGAATACTGGAGAAGGTTAAGTCTGTGTCAGAACAATTTAGAGACCGTCCAATGTCGCCAATGGATAGCGCAATATACTGGGTGGAATATGTTGCAAAACATAGGGAGACACTGCATATGCGATCTGAAGCAATAGATGTGCCGTTTTATCAATACTACCTGATCGATGTAGCAACATTTTTATTTGGAATAATTGCCAGTTTTCTGTTCACTCTATACAAAATTGCTAAACTGATTTTAAGAGTAATTACTAGGTTTTCTAAGAATGCGAAGCAAAAAAGGCTATAGCTATTGATTATGATATTTAGGTCTTTTATGAATATTATGAATGAATATTATGAATTATTGATTATAAATAAAACGTTTTTACTGTATAATAAGTTTTTTTCGGAGATACATACTTAATGCAAAATTTAAAAAAAAAAATAAAAATGTTAGTATATTTAGAAAACTTAATTTTTGTTGTTTCAATTTGGAAATTAAATCTAGATTAGAGAATAGAATTAGAGGTGTGCTAAACGGTTATTTTTCTGGAACAGTTCACAATCCTGCAGTTTCACTTTGGTATTAGATTCCAAAATGAGGTTCCAAAAGTAACATGCTACTTTGCAAATTTTTCATTAAAAATTTGCTATCATGATGATGGTAGAATAGTGATGATAAATAATGATGTAGCCTATTAAAAAAATAACTTAGCATTGGTAAACTAAAAATAATATATTCTAAAAACAGAACCAAAACATGGGCTATACGTAACTACTGAAAGGAAAAAAACTGAAAATAAAAGTCGTTGAAATAAAATATAGCCTTACATGTGAAACTGTTTAATCTCTGTTTGATTTAGTTTGTTTCGAGTGTAAAGCGTTATTGCATTTTCTCAAAGAGCACATCGAAAAGATCCAAAGTAAGTCAGTTGCTAAACTTTTGGTTGCAAGTTACTTTTAGGCAACGACCTTTTTGCTTCTTAATCTCTGTTTGATTTAGTTTGTTTCGAGAATTACGTGTATCAAACGACGAACAGATTTTTTAAAAAGTTTATTTCTTTGCTACAACTAGTTAGTTCAGAATGCAGAGCAAGAATGAATATAATAATTGTTGTACTTAAAAATGTAAAGTTATGTTAGTCTTTTGACAGCAGTTCTCACGTTCAAATGTGAACTGCTGGATCTTGATGACTTCCAGCGGATGATGGTTGCTGTGTCAGCGGTTCCCATGCAGTAACGGCGGATAATACATATGT